CATTTCTGAACACTGATATATACTGATAAATTCTAAATATTTAATATTTAAAAATAAATTTAATTATATTTGTATAAATTAATCTAATATCCTAAAATATGAAATATTATATCCTGAAATGTTTTAATTTTAAATTCCATAATTCTGGTAAATTCATAATTCTGAAATGCAATATTTTCAAAATATTATAATAATAATTCAAATCTTTTTAAAATAGTGTCTTCTAAAATTTTATAATTCAAAATTTAAAATAATAAAAATAATAAAATTAATCCTATCCTTTTTACTTAAATAATATTTTTTTAGTTTTCTTTTAGAGAATTATATTTCTTTCTAATATTAATAATCAGTTGGTAAAGAGATTTATATTTGTAAAAATTATATTCTAACAAAATTTTTTTTAAAATAAATAAAAAAAATTCTTAATAAATATAATTAATTAAAATAAAAAACTAAAAATAATATAAATATTATTCTTTCAACTAATAAAAATTTTGTATTAATAAATTTACAGGATTTTTTATTTTAAGGTTATGTAATTAGAGATTTATAATAATTTAAAATTATGAATTTATTGGGATTTTTAGATTCAGAATTACAGTAATTTAGAATTTTGATATTTGTGATTATAATATTCTAGAATTATAATATTTTAGATTTTAATGTATCAGAATAATGAACAATTAGGATTTTAAGCTTTAGGATTTTATATAAATCCTAATATATAGTTTTATATTATTAAAATCCTAACTTGAATATTTTATATAAGTAATTTAATAATCATATTTAAATATTTTATAATATTAAATAATTATAATAATTATATTATATAAATAATAAATTATATAATATTTTTAGTTTATAATTCTTATTTAAAAATAATTATACAATTAAATAATATTAATACTGATCGAAATAGATACAAATCAGCTAAAAATCAGATGGACAATTTATGAATAATTAATAGATAATTTATGGCTAATATAGATTAATTCTGATTGACACAATATAAGTCAATCAAAAATATCAATCAGTTATCAATCGTTATCATTCGTTTATCTAAACTCTGCCTAAAAATAAGCTATTAATTATTTATAAATCATATGTCTAATTTTTAACCAAAAATTTATTTGTAAATTACATTTATTTCATTTTAAAATTTCAGAAAATAATATTTTTTTATTAATTTTATTCATTATGTGACAAAAGCAAATAAAAAATACTACTAAAATAATAAGCGAATTACTAAAAAAAAAAAAGAAATCGCTATCATAATTGATAAATTGTCATAATTATCATTATTCAATTAAAACTACAAAACTAACAAATAAGCAAAAATAAAATAAATTGTTCTACCCGCCTTTCCATTTATAAAAAAAAGAACAAAATGCGAAAAAAAAGCAAATAAAAAAACTTAAAATATCCCACCCACCTTCTTATTTATAAAAAATAAAAATAAGCAAAAGAAAAAAAAATTTAAAAAATCATCATCATCATCATATCTACTATCTCGAGATAGTTGTCACTATTAATCATTCATCTTGAGATGATCAGAATTGTAATATTCATTACTATCAATCACTTATATTTGTTCTCTTTCAATTTCCACAAGTTCTTTTTTATCCATAACATATTCATTTTCATCTGATTTTTGATATTAGTATTGAAGAATATGTTCTGTTATTCAATTCGAGATCATTCAGGAATGTTTGAAGGGTACAGCCAGTCAAAATGCTAAACCTGATACTCACATATTCGATTTTATAGTACTCTTGCTGAAGTGATTGAGATTGCAGTATTTTGATCGAATACATTACAGATATTTTTTAACTAAAATAATAAAAAAATGTTTAGTAACTTACTAAAATTTATAAATAAGATCTTTTTAAAAAAATAGTAAACCTTGACTGATTGCCACAAGAGATTATATACAATGATGACAGACTTTTATTTTGGGTCATCTTTATCTGTCTCGCTTATTTTGGAAGAAAGGTATAGCGATCGGCTAGCATTCACAATAAAGACCACTTTTCATATTTTGTAATTTATATGTCATTATTTGTAAATAATGTTTAGCAGTTTGTACTTGTCATAATTTTTTCTAAAGATAATAAATTTAATAAACTTAATAGATTAAAATTCAGATTAAAATATACTGTTCTATGATAGCCATTTCACTTTGCTTGTATCATCAAGTTGATTGTTGAAATTTATGGAAACTTCAAAGCCAAATTATTAATTGGTTAATAAAAGGTCAAAAATATAGAGCTAAGACCTTTCGTAATTCTGGGATTAGACTAAGTCACTTTTTGATATTTTTTTGTTATTAAAAGTTTCATTATAATCTAAATCCTATTTCAAATCGATGGTTTTTAAAACTGCTTTCATTTTGACCTAAATATGAAAATTGGAAAATAAATCAGCTTGAAATTTAGAATATAAATACAATCAATAAAAATTCAAATATATCCTAACTCCTTTCACATTGGACTTTTTTACTAAAGAATTGTCATTGTTCTCAAAGATGATTTTTGTTGATTTGTAATTCATCTCATTATCGGTATAATAGACTGGTTTCTTGCCTTTCACTTTTTGTCATTTAGCAGAAGATTCATTGCTGAAACTATCTTTCAGTTATCTTATTGATTTAAGCAGCTGAATTTTCGCAAATTGATCGAGTCTGAAATATCAAAAAAATAAGAGGTAAGAAAATTATTAAAATAAATATTCTCAAATAGAATTTTACCTCTCTTGCAAATTATCATTTTTCCTATCAAATTCGTCATTAATTTTAGTAAAGAATCGATTTTCAGATTCTAGTCACTTATTTTTGCAGAAAAGATCAGAATTTTTTCATTTGAGATACTTAATCTTTTTGTGAAGTTCATCAAGTTGCTCCTTCAGCTTTCGATTTTCTATATAAGAATATAAGAAATATATTGTTAAATTACTATATTTATTAATCAGAGAATAAAATAAATTAATACCAGTTTGTAAATCATCAGATTCGTTGATAGTTATTATTTGTACTAAAACTGAAAAGGCCACTGTTGATTCGCGTTGGAATTTTGATGAAAGCCAAATGTACTTGTATCATTTTTGCAATTTGTCAATATTCACTTTATTCACTTGATCTATAATTTGAAAATTTAAATAAGTATCAAATGTATATAATATAATAAAATCAACTTATTTTCTGGGACTTTTGGTTTCTCATCAGATTCACATTTTACTTATTTTAATTATTGTGCTTATTACGCTTATTGTGCTTATTTCTTTGATTATTTACTTAGTTCTTTTCATTTCATACTATTATAGAAAAGGTAAAAGTTGATTAATAGAGATTTGGTAAATGCAAAAATCGAATTTATATAATTAATTAATAAATTATATATGCATGCAAGAAATTATTATGAAGATATTAAATAATTATTATTTTTTTCAAAAAAAAATAAGTGATATATTTTGAAAATAAGAAAATGTTTAAGAAATTGCTACTTTCTAAAGAAAGTCGATTGAAAAATTAGTACTTTTATATATCTCAAATTAACTAATTCTTACTCATTTGATTTTGATATATATTTTCGGCAAAATATTCTTAAATTCTGACTCATTCGACTTGAAAATTTAGTTTTTTTGATAAAATATTCTTGCAAAATTATTTATACAACTAGTTTTACTTATTATACCTTTTCAGTAAAATATTATTGTGATATTACTTATTCAATTTCTTATTTTTCAAAAATCAACCTTCATTCAACTTGAAAAATTAGTTTTTTTGATAAAAATATTCTTATAATATTATTACTATAACTAGTCTTACCCATTATATTTTATGATTTATGATAAAATATTTTTGTAATATTGTTCGATCGACTTCCTGTTTTTCAAAAATCAACTTAAATTCTACTTAAAATTAGTTTTTTGACAAAGTATCCTTGTGATATTATTTATATAAGATAAAATTTAGCTTTTAGTTGAAGTTTTAGCTAATTGTGGTTGAATTTAATAATTTTCTTTTGTTTTTTTATTTTATTTTATTTTTTATCAAAAACATCTTTAAGCAAAATTTTATCTAATACGATAAAATTTAATTTTCTTATTTGAATTTTTAATTCATTTATAAATCAAAAATAAATAAGTTTAAATAAACTTTTAATATAATTAAATCAGAAATATAGTATTATTTGATAGATAATACATGCAATAAATAATACTTAAATCATCTTTATACTATAAAATAATATTAACAATATAAAACAATACAAATATGAAAATTATTCTTATAAATACTCTATTTTGAACTTTTTTTTTCTCTTATTTTTTCTCTATTTCAAATATATAATTAAAATGAGCAAAAAAAAGTCAATCGCTAGCATACTTGATGATGAAGAAAATAACTTAAGTCAATCTTCTACTGCAGCTTCTTATAGAAGAAACAGATTGATTACTAGTTTAATTGATGAAGAAATATCTTATACTTCTAGAATATCATATTATCTAATGTAATAATAAGATATCGATATTCACAAAGTTCAATTTTAGATGTATTTCATCAACTTGAAATTCAGGAAAAAACAGAAGAGTTTTAAACAACATAAGCTTTGGCTAGACGAATTATTGAATATAAATCAGAAGATGATGAATATCAAGAGGATTCTGATTTCATATTTGTATCTTGAAAACATATAAATAAGTAAAAAAATTGCTCAAAATACAATATAAATCCTTCTGATGACAATTTTGAATAAAGTGTTGATGTATTTTCTGAATCTTCTGTATATACAACTAAAGAAGACAATATTTCAGATAGTAGTAGTAATTAAAATAAATCAGATGATAGAGAATTAGGTAATGATGAAGATTACGAAACATTTGAGAATTATGCACCATCTGATTATGAGCTATTTTAGGATCCACCAGATCTAGAATCAATAATTGATAGCTGATTTTTGTGAATTTTGCTCTGGATTATGACATTTCAGATAAGTTTCAACATAATGGAGATAGCAACTGAGGCTTTAATAAAATTTATAAAATTATTCTTGACAGAAATTAGTGAAAGTGATTTTAGAGGCTTTCCAGATTCGATATACTTAACAAGAAAAGAACTTGAATTAAAAGATCATTTTCATAGTTTCGTTTCTTGTCGATATGTAGAATTTCCTAATTCATCACTCTGTAAATCATGACTTTACAATACAACTATATCTCAAACCATTGGTGTTTTAGCAAATTGAATAATAATTCAACTTAATTTAATATTTTTATTTTCTAAAATCAAATAATAACTCATTTCAATGTATCGTCTGTCTTGTTTTGAAAGTTATTTAAGATAATAAACAAATCATCAGCATTATGATAATATTAGGACTGATATATATAATAATCAAGTATGACAGATATTGAAAGAATCTTCTGAAGAAAATTCATAAAATTTATTTAGAGATAAAGTAGCTAATTATCATCTTGGATTTATGTTGAACCTGAATTAGTTTTAGCCTTATAAAAGTACTGTATATAATATTGGTATTATTTATGCTGCTATATGCAATTTGTCTTATGATATCTGATTCAAATATGAAAACCTACTGACTCTTAACCTCTTATCTGAATCAAGTGAAGTAAATTTGCATAAAAAAAATCATTATTTAGCATTACTTGTTAATTAATTGAAATCTCTTTAGGATCAAATAACTATAGATAAAACATACAAATTTCAAGAAGGAGGACCATTCGTATAGCTCTAATTCTTATTTTATGTGATATATCAGCCACTAGAAAAATATGTGAGCATATTTCAGCCTTAGTATTATATTATAAGTGTGAGAAGAAAGCCAATTATGAAAATCAGCAGCATAATTTTGTAGGTATAGATGATTTTGATAATTGATTCTTCATGCGAGATCTAACTAAATATCATCAGAATACTTTAAAATAGAAATATTGCAATTCTGATGCTTCACAAAAGTGATTTATAAAACAAACTAGTATAAGATAGTCTGAATTATTGTGATTATCATATTTTGATACATTGCTTATTTTTAGGAATTGCATAATGGATAATAAAACAAATTTGGATTAATGAGGAATTTTAACATCAAATACCTTAAAAAAAATTCAAAAAGAATGAATGAGTTTAAGATTCCATCTGATTTGGGTTAAATTCTGGGTAAAATTCATGAAGGATAAGGATTTTCTAATTTCATAGCTGATCAATAATGAATATTCTATACTGTAAACGGATTTACAAAGTGATCTGCAAAATCGATCTACAAAAGGGATTTGCAGAATTGATCAATAGAATTATGTGTAAGATTGATCTACAAATTGATCTACATGTATTACGTGATATTCTTGACATTATTGATATAATTAACATTGTTGATATTATTGACATTAATAACATTATTAACATTGTTAACATAGTTAGTATAATAAATATAACTTATTTATTTTGTATATTTTATTTATTATTATATGTAATTGAAAAGGTATAAATACAGTAGATTTTAAAACTTGTAAAAAGACAGAATTCAATTTGGTTGTGTGCAATAATTCTCTTAGAAGTATTTGAATATCTGTATACTCTTTTATCTTTGTGAAAATCTCTTTTATTTTCTTTACTTTATTTTCTTTATTTCTTTATTTTCTTATTTTTCTTTCTATCAATAAACCATATTATTTATCTTATACATTTGCGTGATATTTTATATAGCTATCTGAGTGATATTATATATCTGTGTAATCTTATAAATCTGAATGATCATATAAATCCTTGTGAATTAAAGTGACCGTTAAGCCTTCGTGATAACTACAGCTATTATGAATCTTTGGAAACATATAAGCCTTCGTAAATTACAGTTGAATACGTCTGAGTGAAACCGATTATAAATCCAGGACTTAGAAATAAATTAGTAGATTACTACGTACATTAAAAAGAAATAACACTCAAATATCTCATTTAACTATAGCGATCTACTAAAATCACACGTTAACAATACTGTTTATTCTACTATATCACTTTGGGAACATTTTCCAGCTATAGATAAAAAGATTTTTACATATTTTGTGATAATTTAAGCTGAATTATAGAATCAAATCTTGTTTTATAAGCTTATTAAAGATTAATTGAAATAGCAAAACTGATAGAAGTTAATCATAGTCATAATAGAATTATGTCAAACATTTATTTATCTCTTTATTTATATGATTGCTCATTTGATTAAGAGTTATTGTATGCATTCTGATGTTTTTCTTTCAAACATATGAATAGAATATTAGATAATTTATTATTATGAAAAATTTTCAATTGAATATATTTATTAATTTTTAAATTTATAATTCTTAAGTTCTTTATCGAATAGCAATAGAAAAATTGAATCTGAACTTATGTATTAATAGATGTTTAATGTCAAATTGACAATATCATAAATTCTGGTTTTGAGATAAAAGGGTTTGATTTTTTGGACTATCGGCCTTTTATTGGCTCTCTTTCAGTTACTGACCAATTTTTATCAAATGAAATATACTGATTTTGGATGAATTTTCAAAATATTAAAGAATTGTGTATTTTTGGTAGTGAAAATTTTCTAGAAAAATTTCTTAAGCCATCATCTGATAATATAATCATTTTAAATGAAATGCTAGATTTAATTGTTAAATACTATTTAGTAACTTATGAAAATCTCAAATTTTAGAATATTCAGCAATGATTCAGAAAATACTATAATAATTCAATTTAAAATGAATCAGTTTAGAAGATGTCAAATCAGTTCTAAAATCTTCATTTAACAATATCCTTATGATATGAGAAAAGTTCATATATTTTGACCCAAATTATTATAAATGATGATATTATTGATTATTATTCAGGTCAAGTTAATACTATTTTACTCATACAGTTAATTTATCATATGGGCTGACTAAACATTTTCTAGTATATGTTTGTTGGTATTAACTTTTAGGTTCTCCAAATATTCAATATCATTTTAATGTTAAAGAGACATGTAATGTTAAACTATGAGATACTGATTTTTATCCTAAAAGTCATGATTACATAATACCAGTACATCATATTTTAGGATGTTTTGTATTAGGAATTATATGATTTCAACTCTGTAAAATGCAAAAGAATATTTGGCAATCAATCCAATTAATAGAAAATACCAATTATGAAATTCTGACATCTTATTTCCTTCTAAATTATTATTTTTAACATAAAATAATCTATTAAAATTGCTTTTTGATTTTATAAATATACAAATCATCTATAAATCGAACAGGTTGATTTAAGTTGATTTTTGGCTGGTTGATGATTATGTCTAATTGATGAATGATTGATAAATGATTTATTACATATTTGATTATTTTGATTTTGACCAGTGTAATATAGTAATATGATACCTTTGCAATAGAAAAGAGAAAATCTGCTGAGAAAATCAATTTTAATTTTATATGCTAAATATGATTTTTAGGTTGAAGTTCAAATTTAGCATTAACACATTTTTATTTTTTTAGTATTTTTCACACTTCTATTATAAAGGTACTATTCTATATTTTTAATTAATTTAATAAATTTTCATATTCTTATAAATTTGATTAAAAATATAAAAAATATAATGTATTTTTTTAATAATATTTATTTTCAAGCTAATATAATTAAAATTTAATAAATTAGTATAAAATACTTATATTATAAAATTAATTTTAATTAAATAATTATCTATTATTTTTAAAATTAATTTAGCATTATTATATTTTATAATAAGTTAATATCTTATTTAATTTAATTATTGCATTTATTATTAAAAAATTTTATAGTAAAAATCCTTTAAATTTTTTGTAATATTAATACAAAAATTAAAATTAGAATAATTTAAAAAAATTGCATATTTAAATTATAAACTTTTATTTTATAAAAAAATATATTTAATTAAAAATTTTATATAAAATTTGTATTCAAATTTTTTTAGTAAAAAGTTTTTATTATTAGAAAATGGTTATAAAATATTTTTTAATAATAAAAAATTAGTAACATTATATATTATAAAGTTAATATAACAAATTCTTCAAATTTAAATTAATTAAGTTTGATATTTATAAGTAATAATATTTCTAATTTGTTAAAATTATTATTATTGTATAAAATTAGTTGATTATTATTTACTCAAATTATTTTATTTATTTTATATAGTATTAGTCAAATAATAACAAATAAATAACTAATCTAGTTAAATCTAGGTTGTCTAATTTGATTTAATTGGTCTCCTATTCTTTTTTTTAGTACTAGATGATCTTAATTGATGATAAATAATAGCATAAATAAAAGACATTAGGGTTTCAATCAAGATATTGTAAAGATATCAATAGGATTATTTTTATTAATATCAATTTATTAACATTTATCTTCCAATCAGATTATCTCTAAATCATCAATAGAAATATTCTTATTAATTTATTTTTATAATACGTTAAGTAGAAAATATCTTAATAGGATTATATATCTCACTGAGAAGACGAAAGAAACTTAATTCATAAAGTAACTCTAGTGGTTTTCATGTTCAGATATTAAAGTACTAAATATGACAATTATTCACTTATACTACTCTAATCATTGCTATTTATTCAAAAGTTTTTGCTAGAACAGATTCCTATTTGCCCTTTTGAGAAAAATTTTTATACAGATATTAGATAATTAGATTCATATCAAATTTGAATAGAGGGATCACTTTTGATAATATATAAATAAGTATTACTAACTATATGTTATTCAACTAATACTATAGGTAATGATACCTGACGAAATTACCTTTCTTAATATGATGAAATTGACAAAACTGAAATAATGAAACTAGTTTTTTATTAATGATGAAATTATTTTACTTAATTGCTAAAATAATATTTAACTTGATCTAAATTTCTTGAATTAAAATACATTAAAAAATATAATAATTTTATATTTATTCATCTAAGAATATTAAAGAGACGAAATTTTTGACGAAATTACAATTTTTCAAAAAAGAGTTTAGTCAGGTATCACTAATTATAGGGTTTATAGGATTATATCATAAGATTTGTAAAAATAGAAAACTAACAGGCAATCATTATATTCATTTCGTCAAAGTAACCCAGAAATTGAACTTGGTATCTAATCCTAATGATATGTCGATTAAGTTATGCTACAGTATACAATGCAGTTTATTATTACTAAAGATCTAATCTAATAAATATTGATCAATCACTTTCTTAATTTGTTTTTTATTAAGAGCTTATGCAGGTTGAAATTATATCCATTATAGATAGTGTTCTGCAAAAAATCTGATTCAATCTGAATCTGATCTGGATCTGACAGATTGGATTGAATCAGATTCAAATCCAGATTTTGATTTGATTCGATCTGTCGGATCTGGATTGGATTTGGATTTGGATTTGATTCAATCTGATGGATTTGAATTTGGATTCAGATTTAATTTGTCAGATTTGAATTTAGATTCAGATCCGATTTGTTAGATTTGAAATAAAAAATGCCGCCCTGAAGTCGAACGTAGCATTTATTATTAAAAAAATTTAATTTTTAATAATAAATTGCCGCCCGAAAGTCAGATACGGCATTTATTATTAAAAAATTAATTTTTATTAATTTTTAATAACTCCCGAAAATCGGAGGAGACATTTATTAATAAAAAATTAATTTTTATTAATTTTTAATAACAAAATGCAGTCCCAAAAGTCGGAGGTGGCATTTATTATTAAAAAAATTAATTTTTATTAATTTTTTATATTAAAATGCCGCCCCAAAAGTCAGACATGGTATTAATTATTAAAAAAATTAAATTTTAATATTTAAATACTGCCTCAAAAGTTGGACGTAGCATTTATTAATAAAAAAATTAATTTTTATTAATTATTTATATAAAAATGCCATCCCAAAAGACGGATGTGGCATTTATTAATAAAAAATTTAATTTTTATTAATTTTTTATATTAAAATGCCGCCCTGAAAGTTGGATGCCGCATTTATTATTAAATAAATTAATGTTAATAAAAAAATTTCACCCCAAAAGTTGGATGCGACATTTATTAATAAAACAATTAATTTTTATTAATTTTTTATATTAAAATGACGCCCTGAAAGTCAGACGCAGCATTTATTAATAAAAAATTAATTTTATTAATTTTTTATATAAAAATGCCGCGTCTGACTTTCAGGGTGGCATTTATTATTAAATAAATTAATGTTTAATAAAATAATTCTGCCCTGAAAGTCAAATGCAGCATTTATTAATAAAATAATTAATTTTTATTAATTTTTTATATAAAAATGCCGCCCCAAAAGTCGGACACGGTATTTATTATTAAAAAAATTAATTTTTATTAATTTTTTATATAAAAATGCCGCCCAAAAATCGGACGCGGTATTTATTATTAAAAAAATTAATTTTTATTAATTTTTTATATAAAAATGCCGCCCCAAAAATCGGACGCGGTATTTATTATTAAAAAATTAATTTTTAATAATAAAGTGCCGATCCAAATGTCAGAGGCGGATTTTTGTTAAAAAAACAACAAAATTGTTGTTTTTTAACATTAAAACGCCATTCTGAATGTTATTAGCTTAAACGGTTCGTCATTAAGTTAACTAAGATTATTTGCTAATAGGGAGTTTAAGTGCGTCTAAACTATGGAAGAAATAAACACGAATTAATTATATTGAAGGGTCAGGTCGTCTTTATCGATATAGATTTAAA